ACCTTTGCTCCCAGCCGGGTTCTTGTCATTTGACTTGTCTATGACATCTTCTGTCACAGAAAGGGTTAGCTTTGTGGGATTCACATCTTATCAGCTTTTTATTTTTCAAGTTTGGGTTTATTTAAGAAGGCATTCTTAATTGATGGCTATACATATTTTCCTGTGTTTTCTTCCAATTTCTTACATACATTTGAATTTCCAACTGGATTTTAGGTAGGAAGGTGTTGAGAGACAGGGTCTTGCTATGGAGTTCAAGCTGGTCTTGAACTCATTATGTAGCCCAGGCTGGCCTCAAACTTGGGCAATCCTCCTGCCTCAGCTTCCCAAGTCCGGGGATTACAGATGTGCACCACTACACCTGGCTTCAACTAGAGTTTTTTTAAGAACTTAGGATTTTTTTTCCCAAATAGTCAGTTGGTCCTCTGATATTTATTAGTTTGTCTTCTGCCTATTGATTTGAAAGGCCCCGTTCATATTTTCAGATGTGCACAGGGCTCCCTCTGAGCTCTCAATTCTGTTCTGCTAGCCCCACACCTACGTATTCCTGCAGTAACACCATGCTAATTAAATGACTCCTGGGGTTTGTTTAAATGTCGTGGTGGGGAAGGACTCAGCCAACTGTAGCTGAGATGGGAGAGTCTTCCTTCCAGTTCCTCCTCTTCTTTTCAAGGTGGTAAGGTTTTAAAAAGCAAAGCAAAACAAAACAAAACTTTTGGTTTTTAGTTTTCTTGTACATTTTCCACCAGATGAATTTTAGAATCATATTTAAAATTTTGTTTTCAGTTCTATTGGATTTAGATGCTATTGCCTTAAATTTAAAAATTAGCTCAGGCAAAGTGAAACCTTCAGGACACTAAGTGGTCTTTTTGTTGTTGTTGTTTTTTTGGTGCCGGGAATCGAACTCGAGTCCTTGCGCTTGCGCAGCAGGCGGTGAAACCACTGAGCTAAGTCCCCAGCCCCTTTTGTTGTTTTTTTGAGACAGGGTCTTGCTATGTATTTCTCTGACCTTGAACTCACTATGTAGCCCAGCCTGGCCTCAAATTGGCAGCTATCCTCCTGCCTCAGCCTCCCAGGTGCTGGGATTACAGGTGTGTGCCACCACACCTGGCATTAAGTGCTCTTATGCAGGGACATGAACAACTCTCTATTAGTTGGTTTTTGCTTACATTCTACATTAAAATTTTTATACTTTTGGGGTCGGGGATTTAGCCCAGTGTTTCTGCCGCCTGCCTCAAAACCTCAAGGTCCCAAGTTCGATCCCTGCTACCAAAAAAAAATTTTTTTTTATACTTTTCTCTATGTAGTTCTGGCTTCCTTGATGTTAGGCTCATTCCTGGTTTTATAGTTTTTGTGGCAATTCTGAGCAGAAATGTTTCATGCTATATATATATATAT